TGTGAGCTCTGCCTACTGTGAACCAGTGGGGTTCTGATCCTGCACTGGCCCCTGTCACTGACCTCAAGAGCATGGCTGGGATTGGGGTACAGAGAGAACCTTCTGCCCCACAGGAAAGAAAGAAGAGAAAGAGAAGGAGGAAAGAAAGGAAAGGGCACAAGATCCCTCTCTTCACCCAAGGGAATGGTGAGGGGAGCAGGCAGTACGGAGACCTGACAAGGATGTGGTCTGAAGCCTTCCTACCTCTCTCTATCAGCCCCTGGCTGTGCCTTGGGTTGATGATCCCTGGGCCGAGTACTCACTGTCCTCATCCTGGCTGGTCCTCCAGCAAGTCACGTCATTTTCAGTTAGTCACTCAACCTCTTGGCCAGGCACTTCCACGTCTGTAAAGTGAGAAGTGGCTCTGTCCACACCTTCATCCCCCTCCCTTCCCTACACTGGCCTCCAACAACCGGGCTGACACCTGAGCAGAAAGCGAGCTGGGCTGGGCCGCCATGGTGTGGAACTGAAAAGAGGGGAGAGGAAGTGGGAGGCTCACACCTCCTGCCCCCAGAGGGGCCCAGCACACACCTGTCCTGTCTCACCTAGCCTGCTGCAGGGGTTGGGGGAGGGAACTGCCTGCCACTGCCTCCCCTCTCCTGTCTCAGCTGATGCCTCTGCCTGCTCACCCCTCTTCCCTCCTTGCCCTCTCTCTCCAAGGATGTCCTCCGAGGTTTGGTTATCATTCACTGTTCAGCCAGAGTCTAGACTCTTAGAGCCTAGTCTGAGGCCCCAAGAATGGGCTTCAGGGCAGGAAGCGGTGGCACACACCGTGCATGGCATCTCCCAGGCTGCACAGGAGGCGGTCCTGCCAGGACCACTCTCCCGCCTCTGTGAGGCTCCAGTTGGCAGTCTGTAGGTCCACGGAGCACAGCTCCTCCCAGCTAACCATGGCCCAGTCCTCCACCTCCAGGTCTCCGTCCCACAGATGTCCCCTCTTTTATACCCAGCCTCTTCCCGAGTCCTAAGAACCCTGTTCAGGCTCTTTCTGGTCTTAGAAAACTTGCTTTCCACCTCTCAACCCTTACAGGGAATTTGTTAGATACGTGGCTGCATCCTAACCAAGTGCTTTGCCAATCTGCCAGTCAGAAACACAGCCGATGGCAATGAAAGTTCAAGTTGTCAGCCCACCAGGAGTAAACTCTCTGATGGGTCAATCTCAGACAGGTAAGGTCCTGAGACCACAGACCCCAGAACGTCTTTCGCTTCTGAGGTGCCTTTACACATTTGCTGCTGTCATCTTTCCCTGGTATCTGGTGTGGTGTGAATGGGTGTGAGCAGATCCCTGCTGCCTATAATGTAGTGTGTTTATCTCGTGTGAACATCCCATTCTACTGGGCATTTTTACCTGAGGATTATTATGAAGACGATTCCTCCCTAAGCTGGACTGTCTAACTGATAATGATAATGCTAGTTTAAATAGAGTTTTGATGATAAAAATATTTGCAGCAAAGTGTCACACAGCTAGAACACATGAATTTCTACTGAGGAGCCACATAGCCTGTGGCTTAGGTTAATGATTAAGAAAAATGAGTTCTAGCAGCCCAGCTAATTTAAATTCTTTTAATCTAAATGTTGGGAGATGTGTTCTCAGGTTTCAGAGTGTATCCTAGCTGAAACAAAGCTTTGAAAATAACTTAAAGCTAGACTAAGATGTTTCTGTCAAAAACTTTGAGGTGAAAAACCCAAGAAGACAATCTAAAGTTCTAGAAAGGCACATAGTTGAGTTAGGGACTCCTTAAAGTCAGGGAACACGAACAAAGCAGCCCAATTGTTACTAGCTGACACACCTTTCTTGTTAGGATTGGTTGATGACAAAAGGTGAGGATTAATTCCTTACACCCATTTCTGCCCTCAGTCTCCTGACATAAAGAAACTATTGATGAGTGGGTATGTACACTAAAGATTTAAATAGAGCTGACTGATTCTTTCTTATATAGAAATGTTAGGTTTGTGATTCCTTTAAGATTCCTTCTAAGATCACCTTCAAGATAAGTAATAAAGTGATTGGTTCTTTTTAACTGCAAAATGCAGCTTGCCAGTAAAAGACCTGATTGAAATGAATACCTTGCTTGCCCACATGGTTAATCTATAACAAGTTGCTTGGGTATGAATGTACGCAGGTTCTTGAGACAATTTATTTTTCACCTGTGATATGTAAAATATTTAATCATGTAAGGGATATGGAAAACATGCTATTTTTTTTTTTACGAGACAGGGTTTCTCTGTATTGTTTTGGAGGTTGTCGGTCCAGCCTGGCCTCGAACTCAGAGATCCGCCTGCCTCTGCCTCCCGAGTGCTGGGATTAAAGGCGTGCGCCACCACCGCCCGGCAGAAAACATGCTATTTTTACCATTTGTTTTGTATTTGTATTTGTTGGAAAAACAGAATGTAACCACATTGTAATTCCTATATTGTCTGAAAAACTTCACTGGGTATATAAGCTGTAGAAAAAAACTATAGAGTAGAAAGAACACGGAAAGAACATGGAAAGATGAGAGGAATAAACAAGGAAACCATCAAGAGAGCACATGAGTGTCTTTTGTCCTGACCCCTCAGATAGAAAAGCCTTAGCATGCACTCCAAAGCCATGGATCCTTTTTGAGCCCTCTGCTGCTAGAGGCTGTTCCCCCAGGTAGCGATACCAATCCTAACTTGCCTAGTTCTCACAGTCTTCCGTGCACAAAGGAGGAAAATGAAGACCAAACAAGTGTACCTTACCCAGGCCAGAAGGCTGCTCTAGTCCCTAGGTGCTGAGCCTGCCACCAAAGCCATCACAATGTCTGCAGACCACCCCTGCACCCTCATCTTTCCCCTCCTCCCTCCCGCCACATTCAGACCAAACCTGCTCCCTTCCTTGAAGAAGACAACCTCTAACAATAAAAACCATGAACCCAGTTTCATCTTTGTGAAGCCTGTCTTTGAACATGTCATTACCTAACTCAAAAACCTTGAAATCCTCCCTACATTCCCACCTCCAACAAGCATAAGAACACTCATCCATCAGGCTGTTCCCTGCTTTTCCTAGACACTAGTTTCCATGCGTGGACCACTGAGATCAATGCTATCGCTCCACCCATTTTTAAATAGTGAGGAAACTGGGACTCTGGGAGGGGCCTTGCTTGTCTTGTGTGCATGCAGGATCTGTGTCTGGCCTATGCCAGTGTCACAACGCCAGTGTCACTTGTACTGGTGATGCCAAAACATCAGAGGAATACAAGGTGTTTTCATAACATTCCTGGTTCATTTGAGTATTCTTGGAACGCTTGACTTTCGTTCCCAAATGTTCACATCTTATATCTGTGCCACACACTGTTTTAACCCTCAGGGGCACAGAAACATAAAACATCCCCAAATTACTCCCCTCTGTAAATGATATTCTAGTGGGAGGCGGAGGAGGGAAAACTAAGCAAAACAATGTAAATCTGAGGCGCTCGTTGTCACTGGGAAAAGTATGGATCAAACATAAAGGGACAGTCCAGTGTGCCTGGTGGGGCATTGTGACTATAAGATGGGTCGCAAGTGAAGAATGGAGCCTCACTGTGCCCTGGGCAGCCGGCCCGGCCAGTGCAAAGGCCTGAGCTCAGTTCGTTTGGTGTGATCAGAGAAGAGCTCGGCCTGCACGACTGAAGCAGTGTGCATGGAGGATGAAGAGCGGGTGGGATGCACAGATAGGACAGAGAAAGGCCTGCATGAAGCCAGGCTCTGCATCCTGCCACCAGGCTCTGCATCCTGCCGGATGTCTGAGAAACACTAAAAGCAACAATCCACGGAGTGCATTTCACACCTGCAACTCAAAACAAACAAATGAAAAACCCCTGCTACAGTAGGATTAATGCCGAGACAAGGAATCGCACGGTGCACAGACAGCAGCTGCAATAGGTGCTCAGAAACTATGTAACAAGGGAAGCAGGAATTAAAGTGCTGAGAGGGAGGGGGCTGGCTCAGCTTGCAGTGCTGGGAGCCGGGGACAAGATGACAGAGAGGGGACAGAAAGCAACCGGCCACTGCTACTCTCCAAGATTTATATCCCACCTCCTAGGAGATTCCGACCCTCCAAGAACCCTGCTCTCAGTGCCAGTCCTGGGGCTCTGGGAGACAGGAGCCGTTGTAGCCTATGATTCCTCAGTTTCTCACAACTCCCACCCTGGCAGAGCGCCCTGTGTTCAGTGTGCTCTCCCACGTTACCCTAGGGTCTGCAATCAACGGAGGACAGAGTCCTGCATTTAGCCTCCTTTTCATAGGGACGTACTGCAGCTCAGAGAGGGTAAAGACCTTGCCAGGGTCACACAGCCAATAGGTGACTAAATTGGGGCTTGATCCAACACTTGAGATTGTGAATTCCACAGGAGCATGGGGGAAACTAGTAGGACTTGGTGTTGACTGAGCCCAGGGGGCAAGGCTGAAGAAGGGGGTTCTGGAATGGGGGGAGGGGAGAGTTGGAGTGATGGAGGCTGAGGGAAGTCACAGACAGGGTAGTGCAGGGAGAGGCTTTGGTACAGAGTTAGCCATGTCTCCAGAAATACCTGTCTCGACGTTGAAATAGAAACTGCATCCTCCCAGACACGCCTGTGAAACGAGGGGTGGGGGAAATCAGCACAGGGGGAGATGGCAGGGAGCTGGCCCAGGCCCGGGGGCCCTGGAGGAGGCTGAGTAGACAAGTCATCTAAACTTTCTCACTCTGCGGGAACGATGAGATAGATAACGAAAGGAATGCTGAAGATGGAGACAAATCCAGGCCACCCAGACAGGGAGGGGGAGCAAGGCCGAGGCTGGTGGCTGCTTGCTCTGAGATGAGGCCCTTTACTAGCTCTGTGAACTGGCAGACCGCATCAGCATCAGCCGGTCGGGTGTCGGGAGGCCTGGTGCCTCCTCCCACCCCCACGGATCCATCCATCCACCTGCCGCTGCACAGTGCAATGATCCCCGGCCCCCTGGGAGGCTGAAGTGTGTGGGAGGAGCAAAGGAGGTGAAAGCCATATGTCTTGCCTGGGATCTCAAGTCTGCAGTCTCCTGCGTCTGCGGCAGCATCCTCCCAGGCCCTCCCCCTCCCCCTGTGTGCGGATGGTATGCTCCGGTAAGCCTGGCCCGGCTGCAGTGGATGGTGCTAGAATCCACGCGGAGGAAGGAAGAGACGCAGGCAGGCGGCAGTGACCCAAGCGGCCACCCCTACTTCAGGAACCCCTTCCTTGAGAGAAGACACCATGACCCAGGGAAAGGTAGGGGCATGTCCCCTCCGCCTGTACCATCCTCTGCTCTCTGGACCCCTGCCTCCCTGCCATTCCGAGAGAGCTTTCTGGATCACTTTTAGCATCCCTCCTAGCTCCGGTGCAAACGGTCCTTGTGGTGTTTGCTGATGCCAGAGGACCAAACAGCCCATTTCAAGGAATGGGCCTAGGACTTTTCCCAGCCCCGAGGTTCTCCTCTTCTGTCTCCCATCCCTTGCTGTGGCATCACAAACCTTTGACAGTTGCACTAGGCCCTGTTAGGAGCAGACTTGGGGAGGGAGAGGAGAGGAGAGAGAGAGAGAGAGAGAGAGAGAGAGAGAGAGAGAGAGAGAGAGAGAGAGAGAGAGAGAGAGAGAGAGAGAGAACGCAAGTTGAGGGACAATGCCTGTGTGTGTGCCTTCAGTGCTGGACCACTTCTTTAGGGTCATCTTTCACCCCCTTCAACATCACCTCCCCACCCCCTTCATTATTCCACTCTGGGTATCAGTATACATCCCCTATGGTTGGGAGTTACTATGGCAACCCTGCAGCAGGGTGCTCTGATTTTTGTTTGTTTTGGTCAGACATGGGGACTAGATAGAATAAAAATGTATCCTCCCCATGCCCCTACACATGCACACACGCACATACACACCACACACACACACACACACACATGTACACACATACTCCAATTTTAGGTCTGAATTACGGTGGGGGGGGTGGAGGGCTGAGCAGACACTTGGGTAGTGCAGGCAGCTTACGTAACATCAACAGCCTGTGGAATTACACAACCACTAGGGCCTAGTGCATAGGGGGAGGGTCTATAGCCCTCTGTTTCGAGGTACTAAGGATTGGTCAGGGAAAACCAAAGAAGGCTGTCCCCTACACCCTTCTTTTTCTATACCAGCCTCAGAGCTAATGGTATATCTCCCCAAACCCGCAGACCCTCCTGTGTTCAAGTTTCTCAGAGGCCTCAAAATGATGTCATTGGGTGATGCCACTTGCTGCCATTGGTCAGATGTCACTTTTGAAATCCTTCTGAGAGAGGCGGTGGCCCCGGAGGTTCTGGGGGGCTAAATGGAGGGGTAGAGGCTAAGGCGGCTTCCTTTGTGCCCCTTTCAGTCTATATAATGGAGGGAGTCAGGGAGCCTGGGCTCCAGGTCCCACTCCAGGAGGCAGGAGACACTGAGCTGAGCATGGGAAGGGGAGCCCCCCTTTCATCCCCACCCGACCCTACCAGTCAGGGACCAGCTCTGTTTTCTGATCTGGGGATACAGATGCCCCTGTTCCTCAGCCCCTTGCTCCCAGAACCGCCACAGGATATTCAGGAGCTGGAGCGCTGCGAGCCTCCGGAAGTCCAGTGGGCAGCAGAGGGACCGAAGTCAGGTGCCTCCCCGGTTGTCTCCTTGCAAGGCCACCCATCTACCTCAGCAGTCCCTGAGCTGCAGCAGAGACCTCTGCAGCCAGACAGAAGTGGTGCTTTCTGAGGCCAGGCCTTTCTTTGGTGACTCTGTCTTCACACCCTCTGTCCCTGACCCTTACAGATGGCATCATCTCACCAAGCTACCATGTCTGTTGTGGCCAGGGGGCAAATGTGAGTGTAACTGGACTGGAGTTCCTAGTCTGCCCTGAGCACAGTTCCCCCTGGGTCTTGCTCGGTTCCTTGTATCACGGGAAGGAAGAGCCTAAAGCAGAAGTCTTCTTCAGCCCCTCCAGCGAGGACGGCACTCCGTTGTTCTGTGCTGGATGGGAAGGGCTGTTTCTGTGGGACCTGCTCTCCCTCTGCCCCACAGGCTCTCCCCATGCTACCCTCCAGCTTTTCTAGCCCAGCAGAAAGCAGCCCGTCCCCAGGGATTGAGCCTGAGCCCTGTAGCCCCAGGGGCCACTTGTAGCACCTGAGAGTTTGGATGTCGCTCTTTCTATCTGATCCTGGCTTTCCATGTTTTTAAAATTGGCTGACTAGCTGGGCATGGTGCTGTCCAGTGCTCAGGAGGTAGAAACAGGTGGATCTCAATGAATTGGAGGCCAGCCTGGTTTACAGGGTGAGTTCCAGGACAACCAGGGCTTCATAGGGAGACCCTGTCTCAAAAACAAACAAACAAACAAACATCAAAATAATGATGATGTAAAATAAAATTAGTTGAATACAGTAAGCAAGCTGACAATAAAATGGGAGAATGTTTTTGTTCAATAACAGGTTTCCTATGTGTCAGGACATTCCCTGAAGCACAGGGCAACTGTAGAATCATAGGGGCCCCGGTTCCTTCCCTAGGTGGTCCTAGGACCTCCACAGGCACCCTTGTGAATTTTCTGCTTCCTGTCTTATCTATCTTTTTCTTGGCTGGCCCCACCCCTCCAAGCTTGGTTCTGTGGGCTCTGAACCCGGGGGTGTGGGGTGTGGGTCTTGTCTGTCCCACTCCCTAGCACAGGTTACAAGAGCACTGAGGCAGATTCCAGGAATCCAGGGCTGTCCCTGGTAACCATAACACCTGTATGGTCTCTCTCTGCCTCTCCTCTACAGCTCTCTGTGGCTAACAAGGCCCCCGGGAGTGAGGGGCAGCAGCAGACAAACGGCGAGAAAAAGGAGGCTCCAGCAGTGCCGTCAGCACCGCCCTCCTATGAGGAGGCCACCTCTGGAGATGGGCTGAAGGCAGGGGTCTTCCCCCAGGCCCCAACGGCTGTGCCTCTCCATCCAAGCTGGGCCTATGTGGACCCTAGTAAGTCTCTTGGCAATGGGGTAGAAGTGCTGGGTGCTGGGTAGGAGGTTTTGCAGGGACAGCACGGTGTGGGGTAGGTATGTGGGATGGCTGGCCAGACATAGGAACCAACATCTTCACCAGTAGTGACAGTTCCGGGATCCCATCGGTAGCACCTTGGCTGTCTGGCTGAGCAGCCTGAAGGACTTTGTCACTGGCTGTGAAGAGGACCCTCTAACTCCCGAGCCCCAAGCTGGTGAGATGGTTCAGTGGGTAAATGCACCTTGCCACAAAAACTGACGACCTCAGTTCCATCCCAGGATTCCAGGGCAGATGGCAGGAGAGAACTGACTCCTGAGAGTTGACCTCTGACCTCCACGTGTGCTTCATAGCATGCATGCACCCAAATTAGAAACACACGCACACATGTGTGCATATGCAGTCACACACACGTTTGCATACAATAGCAAATAACATTTTTTAATTTGGTATTCAGACCTTTCAGGGTTTGTCTGCTGCTCCTCTCCTGCCCCTCCCCCACTGTGACACTCCGGCTGCCTGCAAAGTTCTAGAAGGGATCTGAGGACAATGCCCCTGGCCAAGCCTCTGCTCACAGAGCCCCTGCTCGTAAGGAGCAAGTGGTCACCATGGTTCATGCCTCTTCCAAAAATACCGCTCGGTCAGGAGCCCAGCAGCCTTACTCCAATGTGACATACTCGAAGGTCAATGGAGGTGTGGCGGGAAGTTCCATACCCTCTCATTTCTCCTGCCCTGGTTGCTGGGATGGACACTTATTTAAGAAATAGCTAAGGAGCTATGGAAGGGAGGCATTTCTTAGTGTAGCCTGGAAAATGTCAGACATGAGCTCTTCCGGGGGACACAGAGTCTGTCCTCTCTGAGGCGACTGTCAATGGATGCCTGCCACCGTGCCTCAAGTGCCCCCAGTGACAGAGAGCTGGGTAGCTCCCTGCCCTACTTATCAGGCTGTCGAGGCTTCTGAAGTCTTTCTCCGGCCACGCTGTCAAATACCCTCTTTGGCCCACCCCACATCCGTCTTCCCGGTCCCTGCTTGCTCTCCCTGCTCTGACCCCAGCAATGAGCCATCCCCTCCCTTCTCCCTCCCCAATGGTGGGTGCTCTGCGGAACCAAGCTCCATCATCCAAACGCCCTTTCCCTCTTGTGTCCCTGTTCCCCTCCCCAGACACTCCAGCTCCTTGACCAAGAATCCTCAAGAGCCAGCCAGTCCCCCTGGCTAGCCCATCTCAGCGGCATGGGGCTGAGGGCTTACGGGTGTCTCCTCACAGCCAGTGGCTAAGTCCTTGCAGGCAGCTCAGCCAGACAGCCAAGGTGCTACCGCTGCAATCCCAGAACTGTCAGTATTGGTGAAGAGGTTGGTGACTCATGTCTGGCCAGCCAGTCAGGGAAATTTTTCTGTATCTATGCAGAGCTCTGAAGAGTTGTGAGTTAGCATGTGAAGAGACAAAGCAATAAATGTTCCTCAGAAAGCACTAAGTGGGCAGAGTCCAGGGCAGGTAACTGACATTGTAGCCGGGCTGAGAAAGTAGCAGGGAGGACTGTTCATGGTGACATGTGGCTGGAGGACTCCACTCACCCTGGCATCGTTAAAAGAACTTAAACATGCCCAGTGTGGTGTTATATGTCTATACCTAGCACTCAGGAGGTGGAAATGGGAGAATTAGAAGTCCAAGGTCATTGTCAGCCACATAGTGAGCGCAAGACCAGCCTGGTCTGCTTGAGACCATGTCTCAAGAGAAAAAAAAAAAAAGAACTTGAACCTGAAGATGAGCAGGAGAAGAGTCATTGAAGAGCTCCAACAGGGTAGTGGCATGGTCATCATTGCCGAGAGACCAAGGCAGAAGCTGTTGCTGGGGCAAAGGGAAAGATAGCCAGACCTGATGGGGCCAGTAGAGGGGACACGAGCAGATATGTTCCAGGACTTGAGAGTGGCCCTAAGGAGGGACACAAGGGCAGAGGCGATGTGGTCCCCACCAGGCACAGAGCATGCAGACTTTCCGTTTTATCTCATTTGGTCCCTGTGAAGTGGCCCGTGGTCCACACCAGGAGACTCAGAGAAGGTGGTGATGTGCTCTGGTCACACAGCTTGTCCCACAGACTGGCAGATCCACCTGTGGGTCTCTTTGCCTATGGGGTCCTCAGTCCTGCAAAAGCCAGAGCTTTGGGGCCAGGCCTGGGCCCCGCCCACTGCACTTTTGCCTCCAGCGGCCCTGGTTTGCAAGCCCAGCTCCTCCACCCACGGGCCTTAGAGCAGCCAGAGGCAGACAGGACACTGGACAGAACTGGCTGGCCCTTGCTGATGCACAGGAGCTGGGGTGTCCAGGGAGGGGACACAAGAGGGAAGGGGACATTTGTATGGTGAAACTCGGTCTCCCAGAGCCCCAGCTATCGTAGAGGGAAAGGACGGGAGATAGCTCATTGCTGGGTCAGAGAAGGGAGAGCAAGAAGTAATCAGGAACAGCTGAGGGGTGGGCAGGATGGGGGCCACAGGGGATAGTTGGCCACGGGGCTGGAGAGATAGACTTGAGAGCCAGACCGACATGAGATGGGCTGGCAGGGAACTCACACAGCCTCCACCCAGGCAGCAGCTCCAGCTACAAAGGTGGTTTCCCCACAGGAAACCATGAGCTCTTCACCACCTACAGCTGGGATGACCAGAAAGTTCGCCGGCTCTTCATCAGAAAGGTGACTCCCTCTCCCAGGCTCTGGGCTGCCGGGATGGGGTGGGGGTGAATGGTTTGGGACCCTGTGATGGACTCCTGGGAGGGCCTTAGCCCAGCCTCTGTCTGAAGGAGGTCCTTTCCCTTTCTCCTGCCATCCCGGCTCATGGCTCCTCCTGGCATGTGCTTCCAAGGTTTTACTCTGGGCCCTCGTTCTATGTCCCCTGAGCTCCTTGGGCTGCTCCACCTGAGGTCTGGTGGCTTTTTTGTCCCTCCGCTTATCTCAGCCTGCCCAGGGTGAAAGTGTCCAATAGGTAGGTCTAGCTTCAGATGAGTCCCAGGGACCTGGGGTCTCTTGGAGCCTTGCTGGGGCTCAGGGCTCCCCCACTGACCATCCCTTCCCTCAGGTCTATGCCATCCTGTTGGTCCAGCTGTTGGTGACGTTGGCTGTTGTGGCTCTCTTTACCTTTTGGTGAGTTGGCAAAGTGGATTGGCATCTTCCAGGAGGACTGTGGCCAGACTTAGGGCAGGGGGACTCCATCAAACCACTCTTGAGGTGTCCGCCTGGATAGATGAGGGGCAGTGAGTCCCTAACACTGGGGAAGAACACTGGGTGTACACCATGTGTGCGAGCCCCCAAACAGTGTCGGGTGGGCCCTCCAGGCTCCTCTAGGTCCCAGCCTGGCTGGCCGGAGCCCGGTCTCCCCTCCTGCCTCTGAGTCCACGTGGGCCAGGTGCAAACATTGAGCACAAGGAGACCTGGGGCAACCTCTGACTCTGCCTTTTTCTACAGTGATGCCGTGAAGGACTACGTCCAGGCCAACCCAGGCTGGTACTGGGCATCCTAGTGAGTATGCCCCTGGAGACCCCTTCCTAGAGATGCTGTGCTACATCTATGAGTCCAAACCACAACATTCCCACACCCCACGGGGAGGACCTCAAAGATCCCTAGCATGGCCAGATCTGACAGGACAACTGGAAAGGGGGGATGACAATTCCTACACAGGTTGGCAAGGGTGGGACTAGGGCCCGGGATGGAGACAGCCAGTAAGTTGACCCCATGAGGGAAGGGGCTGGGACACTTTGGCCTTCTGTAATGATAACATTGCAGCTCTTATTAACATTGTTATTAATGCTTATGAAATTATTAATCATAAGAGCTACCACTTAAAGAGTGCCTAATTAAGGGCTGGGCATTGTTTTGTGTGTTGGATGTACAGTATTGCATTTGATTCTCAAATCTACTGAATATGATTACCTCAGAAAACCTTAAGGCTCAGAGAGGTTGGGTAATTTGCCCAAGGTCACACAGCTAGTCAGTGGTGGAGCTGGGTTCAAGTTAAGACTTGTGCTCTTAATCCCTCTGCTTGGCAGTCTCCCTTCCGCCCTCAGCCACTTGGCTTCTACTAGTCCTACACTCTTTAAGGAGCATCACAGGCGACCTGCTGGAGGTTGTTTAGGTGACTCGGACCCTCCTTCCTTGTAATTAAGAAATAATTTTGGATATTTCCAGACCAGAACCATCCTAGACTCAGAAAATTGCTTTTTTACACAGTCCCCATTGGCATCCAGGGTATTGAGGCTGCTGGGCAGGAGGCCACTACCTGTAGGGGAAGGTAATGGGTGTGTGATGTACGCAAAGGAGTTTACACAGGAGCTGTGAGAGGTGTGGGGGGCGGCGATTCGCGGGATGGACCAGGGCTGTGAGAGGAGTGGCTGAAGCCGAAAGCTTGGGAGTGAGACACTGAGGTGCGTTCCCTGCGTTAAGGTCTAGACGGACAGACAGAGAAAAGGCCTTCTTAAAGAGCAGTGGGGCCCTTGAGGGCCAAGTGTCAAGAGAGACCCTGGCGGAGGGGTGTGCACACTGATGGCCCAGCCTGCTCTTCCATAGGGACCGTGTGCAGAGCTGGGCTCAGCCACCGGAGCCTAGAGTGGTCTTGGAATCGGGCTTGGTGTTGGCACAAGTGAGCCATTGACTAACAGTGAGGAAATGTCCCAGGATTCTAGAGGTGAAGACTTTCCTAGGGCACAAGACAGAGGGGCAGTTGGCTTCCCAGAGGGAGAGCTTAGTCCTGAGGAGTTGGGAGGCACCGTGTGCACGGCTAATGAGGCCCCAGGGACTGCCACCTTGGCCAGCACACACAGCAGGTTGGCATGGCTGCTAGCACGTCAGCGCTGTCTGGTAGGCTCAGCACACCCCTACCCCGAGACCTTGGGGATGGTATCCTAGACCCCTCTTCTATGACAGTCTGTGGAACTCCATGTCCTTGGTGTGTAGTGGCAGGAACAACTCGGAGCACATTGTACGTTGTTCCATGCTAAGAGGGAGTGGGGGGAGGGAGGGAGCATCTGGCCTTAGAATGGTGAAGTTCAAGTGGAAAACAGTGATGTTCTGAGGTGGAGCAGGTGGAGAGCGGTGGGGGTGGGCATGAGCTGTGCTCTCCAGGGATGCAACAAAGCACGGATGTTGCTGGCATTCCCCCACCGGCATGCCTCCTCTTCCTGCAGAAGGCCTATCTGAGGAATCTGCTCTCCCTATCCTGCCCCTACATCCTGTCAGGTCTCACCTCCTCACCTCCAACATCTCAAATGCTCCCCGAGGGCTCCCTTGTTTGTCTCCTCCTGTTGGAACAGCATTCGTAACAGAGAATAAAACAGCCGTTTTCTATGCATGCGGCACCATGCCAAGTGTTTGACGTATGGTTCTCAACCCTGCTTTTAATAACCCCGCAGAGCAGGTGCTGTTACAATCTCCATTTCACAGACCAGGAAATTGAGGCAGAGAGGAGCTGATTCCAGGGCATCAGAACCAGGCAGAAAGCTAGAACTGCTTAACAACCACATGCTTGCCCACTGTGGTCTGCTGGCCCTAGCCCTGGCTGCGAGGGCAAGTCAGCTGCGGAAGGCTTTTGTCCCTGGTCTTCACCTGAGTCTCAGTCTCCATCCTGACACTAAACAGACTGGCCCAGGCCTTGGGGCTGAGGCTTCAACATGAAACCAGACTGTTCTCACTCACACAACCCCAGCCCGCCTTCTGCCCCAACAGCTCTGGCTTTCTCAAGGTCCCCGTCATCTCTCTCCGCTGGGTTCTTGCCTTATTGTCTGCTGGCTCCCACTGAGCATGGTGTCTGTGGCAGAGCAGAGCGATGAGAGAAGAGCAGGCAGAGGGGAAGTGTGAGGCTAGGGCTGGGGCTGGGGTAGCTCGGGAAAGCTGGCACCAGCCTCTAGTGACAGTGAGCAGCTCCCATCCACAAGTCCAGCCTGGTGCCAGACTGTACCAAGTGCAGCACCCTCCCACCAGGTCTGGTGAGCAGTCTTCCTGTTCTGCAAAGCACGGGCTAGGACTGGCTATTAAGCCCTTGTCCGTGGCCATAGACTCATAGTAGGCACGGGACGGGGCTTCCAGTAACGGACTCCAAAGCTGCACCGTGGTCTTGGAATCCTGAGTATCTGCCCTTCCTTCTGATGCCTACCTTCAGGGCTAAGGAACGAGGGAGCCCACAGAGAAGGACATGAGACCCTTGCCCCCAGGAAGCTTCCAGTTTGGCCAGAGTGCCAGGAGACACAGAACTAAGTGTTCTGTTATTGTCATAGTGACTGAGCAATGACTCAAGTGAGACCATAAGAAGCAGGGTACCTTTCCCCAGGGATAGGAGGGTTCTGCTGTCCCACATGTGCAGAGTGTGCACAGCTGGCATCGGAACCTCCAGGTCATAAGCTTACATTCCTGCCCTGCCCGTTTTGTTATTGCTTCTGTTTGTCTTTTCCATTTCATCCAGAAGATGCCTACTGGGTGTCAGGCTCCAGGTTAGATGGCAGGAAAAGGAAGCAAGTCTCAAACTGGCCTCCAGGTGCTACAAGGGTGGGGCCCTGTGAGCTGAGCTGGCTGAGGCAGGGGTGCAGGCTGCAGTCAGAGCTGTGTCTATGCTATGGAGGAAGCAAGGTGGACAGCAGAGTCTCTGTCCTGTCAGCAGAGTGGGAGGCATGTTTTGAGAGTGCAGAACGGGTTGTGACGAGAAGAGGGGAGGGGGGACCAGGTGTGGTGACAGCAGAGTCAGTGGTGAGTGGACTGGGCTGCACATCGCCAAGTCTCCTGGGGAAATGTAGTGATCAGCATAGCGTGGAGGGTGGAAGGTTGGGCTGCAGGAGAGAGAAGAGAAAGAGGTGACCCAACTTCAAAGGGAGGTGGCAGAGACGGAGGGAAGAGTGAGACCTCAGTGGGAGGGTGAACAGATCCAGGTGATTAATTGGGTGTGGCAGGGCGAACACCAAGAATGATGCTGAGGCCTCTGGCTGGGTGGCCTGACGGTTGCATGATGCCCTCAGCAGTGGTGGTTCAGGAGCAGAGTGAATGCAGAGCTCAGCTCTGTGCCATCTAGTCTGGCTCACGTCTAAAAAGCTACTGTTGCCTGGAACATCTATGTGGCTGCCTAGCGTGAGTGCTGAGAAGGCAAAGCGGAAACCCATCCTAAAGTACGGGTTCATCCTTCGTGTGAGGGAGCCTGCCGAGGGAGAGTGGGATGGGAGAAGTCTCCCTTGAAGAAAACAGCTCCTTCAGAGGCTCCCTAAAAGGGACTAAGGAAGAGTGGCCAGGAAGGGAGGAGCCCAAAAGTGTGTCATTGTGGAACCAGGGAAGCAATAGGAGTGACCAGGCATTGAGAAGTCTGGTAGTGTAAGAACCAACGAGTGACAACTGAACGCAACAAGGTCACCCTGACGCGACCAAGCCAGCTCTCATTATGTGGGGCTGAGGCCAGGTTGTTGGGCCGGTTGAGGAGATGGAGAAGAAGCTCTGTGTAGAGAATACAGAGGGTGCAGAGCTGCTGGAGCTAGAAACAGGGAGGATGCTGAGTGACGATGGGGCGAGGCCAAGGAGGTTGACATGGGAGAAGAGGTGGCCCTCTCCAGGAGCGTCAAAGTAAGCCGTCACCCGGCTTTCGAAGGCCTGCCTGAGACCCAAAACCCAGGTTGGGGGTATTGGCCTGGGCAGGGATGAGGGACAGGGAGTCTGGTAGCGCCACGTGAGGTTTTCAGGTGATGGGCCAGGAGCCACAGGAGCCGCACCTCATTATCTCAGATCTTTCTGGAACACAGCAGAGAGTGAGGCAGCATGGGAGTTTTGGGGAAGGAGGAGGCTGTCTGGAATTGCTGTTATGGAGGGCGGGTAAGATGCTGAAGGGATGGAGAAGGAAAGGACTTCAGGGCCATGCTGAAGGCCCTCTGAGAGTGGAGGCCATGCATTGGGAGGTGAGCCGTCTTGGGAGCTCATATTCTCTGTCTTCCATTGCCTGGTCTTTGCCCATTGCTTTCTAGAAAACTCTCAGCAGTCAACCACCCTCTAGCCACTTCCCACTGGACATGGCTACCTAATCCAGAAACTGATTCCACTACCTGCTCTGCCAGGGGCTGGCAGGCCGGTCCATGCTGAGCCCCTAGCCTGGCAGGGGAGAGCAATAAAACAGTAGCTAACAGGATGGCTGCAGGTAGTGATGAGAACAGCAGTGTTAGAAGGCAGCTACCTGCTCCCGGAGCACCCAGGTTTCAGTCCTGCATCCACAGGGTAGCTTCATGACCTTGGACAAGACGCCTGACCTCTTCTGTGAAGGAGACCATAGTCCTTGGAGAAGGAAGAACCGTGTCCATATTTATTAATACTGTCAAAACAAAAATCAAACCTGTTTCCCCCCTGGCTTGTGGATAAGTCCCAGGCCAGTCAGAGGTACATAATGAGATTTTGTCTCAAAAAACTATAAATAAATAATAAGTAAAAATATGCCCAGTGCACAAAATATATTCTATGATCGTTTTTAGTTTGTTTTATACTCACCTACTGTCTTTGAAGCAAGGTCTCACATGGAATGGGCTGGCCTTAGACTCCATTAGTAGAGCAGGATGACTCTGAATCCCTGATCCTCTGGCCTGTTCTCCTGAGTGCTGGGATTGCATCACCATGCTATGATGCCTGGCATGAGCCCTTTTTTTTTTTTTTTTTTTTTTTTTTTTTTGGTTTTTCAAGACAGGGTTTCTCTGTAACTTTGGAGACTGTCCTGGAACTCACTTTGTAGACCAGGCTGGCCTCGAACTCACAGAGATCCGCCTGCCTCTGCCTCCCAAGTGCTGGGATTAAAGGCGTGCGCCACCAACGCCCGGCGCCTTTTTTAAATTTTTTGTAATGCATGCTTATGGGTGCTCACATGTATGCCCACGGATTGGTATGGGTGTACATGTGTACATGTGCATATGGAGGCTGGAAGCCAGTTTTGGGTGTCATCCTCAGGTGAGCCATCCAACTCCTTTGCAACAGAGTGTCTCATTGGCCTGCAGCTCCCCAATGAGGCTAGACGGGCTGGCCATCAAGCTGAGCCCCAGAAAGCCTCCTCTCTTTGCCTCTCCAAGGGCCGGGATTCCAAGAGCATGCTACCATGCCTGTGTCCAGCATTTTCACCTGGCTTCTAGGGACTGAAGGCGGGTCCTCACGCTTGCTGGCCTCTCACCTTCCCCACTGTGTGTGACCGAGTGATCTATTCAGGCCCTGAGGGATAAACTTTCTAACTAAGGTTTCTTAGCCAGATAGGGTGATACCAGTCTGCAGTATCAGGACACTAAAGTAGGAGGATCACTATGTAGCCTGGACTACATAATGAGATTGCCTTAGAAAACACCCAGACACCAGCAAAGGTCCTTGCTGTAGCTCCCAAGATTAAATATGCTAGAAGTAGGCTTGTCCCACCCAACTAATTCTCTTTGGGGAATTAGGCTACCATCCTTCCCATTGTCTAGCCTAGGATGACCATGCCCTTCCTTCTGCTCTTGCCATCCCGCCTGATGAAGTTTGGGTAGGGGTGGCAGCGTAGGATCAACTGGGACTAGATTGAAGGCCTCAGGAGAGACCTTCTGATTTGCCCATCTGTCTCTCTCACACAGTGCTGTGTTCTTTGTAACTTACCTGACTCTGGCTTGCTGCTCTGCACCCAGGTATGGCCATGACTTGGGGGCTACTTGTGGAAGTATTAGTAGGACCTTAGAAATCTGCTCTGAGCCCTGCCTTTCCCCAGGGGCCTGTGCAGCCCTGAGAGGGCCTTTTCCCTCTCCGAATGGCAGTCAAGTGGACCAGGCCCGCTGCCCTTCACTTGGTGCCTCTGAGGTGGAGAGGCCAATGGGGGTGTGAGAGGGTTTGAATGAAGGGAGAGAGTCCGCAGAGTGGACAGAGCCCTGCAGGCTGGAGTGTCCTCTGAGGTCCATGGCTTACCTTGCAGGAGATACTTCCCTTGGAACCTGATTCTGCTGACCATCTTTGTAAGTGACGGGGGCAAGCTGGGGGACAGATGCTGAGTGGGCATGGAGGAAGGACAAAGGCAGCCAGAGTCTAGACTAGGGGTAAGCCAATGTGAGGTTCCTGGTGCAACAGAGGTGCTGAACCCCTCTTTCTGCCAGAACATTCCACCCTCCCTTTCTGGATGGGATGAAGCTCTCCCCTCCGCATTGTGTGCCAGGACTTTTGTCCTGGGGAGATTGTGTGAGACTTCCAGTCAGTTAGGATAATGAAGAGTAAGGGCTTCTCACAGGATGAACAAGGCTGCCTAAGAGATAAAGGGACAGCTAGCCTGAGGTGCCTGCGTGCCGGCCAGGGGAACACTGTTAAGCGGGGCCTCAGTCTCGAGCAGAAACCTGTACAGAGTAAAGCAGTCTCAGTGTGAGGATCGTGCGCACGGGGTGGAGGCCCTGGCTAGACTCTGAGAGTGCCCAGGGCCCCCAAACCCACATGGAGTAGCAGTCCTCACCCTGCTCTACTTTCAGACCCTGTCCATGGCCTATCTCACTGGGATGCTGTCCAGGTAAATGGGGCAGGGTGTCCTAGGCAGGCATGCAGCCAGGGTCTGGCCATACCTGCAGGGAGCACCCCACACAGAACCCATCTTTCTGGGGAGCCATTGGCTGGGGGGAGGAACTCAAGCAGACAGACCACTCCTTAGGCACGATGTGGCCAGTGGCTCTAAGACCCCAGCAAGATGGGTAGGGTTGGAACAAGGGATGGAGGACAGTGAACTGATGCTTTAAAGCTCCCGACTCCTGACGGTGCAGTAACCTGTAAACTGTCCCCAGACACTGACATACGCATACCCCACTAGGCCTATTCTAGGCCCTTTACCCCATTAATGAGTGTCCACGGACAGCTGGGAGTGGGTGGTCCTGGGAATGGGACAGGTTGGGTCGCCAGGTCATGAGGACAGCTTCTGCCAGAAAAGAGTGGACCTGCGAGGAGGGTGGGGAGAGGGGAGCCCTACTGACCCCACGCCCATCCTCAGCTACTACAACACCACATCTGTGCTGCTGTGCCTGGGCATCACGGCCCTCGTCTGTCTCTCCGTCACCATCTTCAGCTTCCAGACCAAGGTCAGCCCTGGGCCTGTGGGCAGGGGAGGGCATGTCCGGGGGGGGGGGTCAAAGATGCACTTGGGGCTGAGGAGAGGGCATGTGGGTTGAGGGATGGCGCATGGGTCAGGGATTCCCGTAGGGCTGAGGGGAGGGCACGTGAGGTCTGGAGATGCCACCTGGGAGAGGCATAGCGCGGGCTGTGGTGTCGAGCGCCGAGGCAGGGGGCCTCTGGCCAGCACACTGCTGAGGCCCAGTGCTGACGGTCCCCTGTGCCCCACAGTTTGACTTCACCTCCTGCCAGGGAGTGCTGTTCGTGCTGCTCATGACCCTTTTCTTCAGTGGATTCCTCCTAGCCATCCTCCTGCCCTTCCAATACGTGAGTCTCCAGCCTACAGGCCCATGAGGAGGGTGGGGATGGCCGGACGCCCAGGATGCCATATTCTTCTACCCCTTCAGGGCAGACCCAGGGCCAAAGCCCCACAGCCTGCCACCCTGCCCAGCCCTCCTGGCTCCTGCCCCTAGGTGTGTTGGCAGCATACACAAGCAAACAAGGAGGCTTTTCTTGGCAGGCCTGGACACCTGCCCAGCTCCGTGAGCTGCATCCGGCTTCCCTTTCCCTATCCTCCCTTGCAGGTGGAGGAAGGGAGAGAGGGACTGTAGCTGAGGAAGATACACTGGGCTTCCAGGGGCCCACCAGGCTCAGGGGACCTCCTGGGGGACCAGCCAAGCCCAAAGAGACAGAATTTGGCTGGCCAGGCAGAGGGGAGTGAGGCAGGGGGCAGGGACAGACTCTATACCCCATCTCACAGACCACCCGCCCACGACCTGCCGGCCTGGAAGAGTGCCTACTGTGTAGGAGCTGAAGCTAACAATGCTGGGGGACAGACTGGGGCGGGGGACATGACAGGTGGTTTGAGTCCTGAGAACACAGGAAAGAAAGCATTGGGTCTATTGGGGGCTCAGTGGTGGTCTCTCCAGCCACATTTGGAACCTGACCCCCTATTGCATCTCGTCTGCCAAGCAGGGATAGCATTTCTCATCCCTTCTAACCTACCTCCATCCCGCCCAGCCCCAGCCTCCAGGTGGTTGGCACCTAGTCTAGAATGTCAAGATTGATTCTGGCATTTCTTTGGCTCTTCCCAGGATCCTGTTGACAAAGGGAGGGGCCGGAGCTGGCCTGGGGGCCTCTATGTATCTAGGATGGGGAGGGGGCTACAGGAAGGGGCCTCAGAACTTCAAAGAGCCCTTTATTGACCCACACTGAGCTGATGGGATGCCTGTGTTTCCAGGGATCTTCTGGGAAGTTTTCTGGAAGGGTTCCACAAAGGGCAGTGCTAACATGGCACCCTAGAGTTGTGGAGTTTGCGTGCACAGCCAGGGTGAGCACTAGCTGGGAAGGGCACTGTTCCGGCCTCCCGCCTCCTGCAGCAAGCCCTCCACGCCTGTCTGGCAGAGGTTCCCGATGCTCCACCTCCACACTGGCTCTGGGTTTGACTGACTTCTTCCAGCTGAGCTTTTGCTCCCAAGACAGAGACAGAGAGGGCTCTGTGAAAGGGACAGGCAGACCCTAGATAGGGAGAGCAGGGATGGATAGGGACAGCAGGGGGAGCCTAGAGCCAGGCCCAGGAGGATGATAGTCAGATAGGATGAGTCACCCTTGGCCAGCCTGAGCCTGGGGCTGTGTTTTGAAGAAAAAAAATCAGGTCTGTGGGAATTCGCTGCAGGTGTCCCATGATTACTCTGGGGTCTCTCTGTCCTCCACTGCCCCTCTCAGTCCTGGGGAGAGTTACCCCACTTCCTCCACCCTCTGGTCCAGCCCCTGGTCCTTCTGCCAACTGTCCTTTGCACATACTAAAGCCCATCCTTCCTGTGCCCACAGGTCCCCTGGCTCCACGCCGTCTATGCCGTGCTAGGAGCGGGCTTGTTCACGTTGGTGAGTTCAGCCCAGCTTCCGGGGCCACCTTCTCAGCTCCATGACACTATGTATTTTCCTCACAGTCTCTCCGAAACCTTTTTGCAGCATCTGAGGGTGGGGCTGGCACAGTACCACATTCAGGGATTCTGCCTTGTGTCCCAGACATGCTCTCTGAGGGAGTACGGGAATGTGAGAACAGCAGGGTGGAAGCTGCCAGCCACTGCAGGACTAAGAGGGACTGAGCTCGAGGATATCCTACCGTGTGGACCAAGTTAGTGTGGTCCCAGGACAGTGTGGGAAAGAGTCGCAAACCTGGTGAAAGGCTCCATTAGAGGGGGCTTGGTCTTTGCCGTCCTCACCAAATTCACTTAACAGTATTAGCTAATTTGTGTGTGTACTTATTTACTTATTTGCCTTTTTAAAACAAATTGACTGCCCTGGGCAATGGTGGCACACGCCTTTAATCCCAGAACTCGGGAGGCAGAGGCAAGTGGATCTCTGTGGGTTCTAGGCCAGCCTGGTCTACAGAGTGAGCTCCAGGACAGTCAAGTTGGCCTTGAACTTGCAACCCTCCCACCCAGCCTCCTGAGTACTGGCATGAACGCCAGGGGCTTAGCCTGAGCACTCACTTTCCCCAGCCCCCTCTCTCTCGCTCTTATTTCTCACACCACACCTAGCAGAGATGGCAACGCAGAGGAAGCTCAGTGATGTCTGATAACATGCCAAGGGCATCCTGGCATCCTAGGAAACGGCAGGACAAGGCTGAGAACTTGGACATCTGGCTCCAGAGTCCCATTGAAAGGCAGAGGCCAGGTGGGAAGTGCCTAGAAGCAGATGCCCAGACATCATGACCAGAACAGATCTGTCTAAGGCAGCACAACATATCCTCTGGCCAAGTAGGCCCTCAGCACCTGAGTATGTGCCCCAGGTTAGCCCAAGAGACAAGCTGGTGTTCATGACATACTCATGGGAAGCCACCTAAAGAGACATCTATTGCCAGTGACACAACGACCAGACCTCCTCTCTCTCTAATCTGCTCAGCTTTGCTAAGTGGCCAGAGTCCCCGGTTTAGTTACAAATTTGAGACTCGTGGATAACAAGAATGCCCAAGGATGTAGATAACCTTGATGTAAGAATTGCCTCTTCCGTCCATCCATCATGGTGGTGCACACCTGTAATCCTAGCGTTTGGGAGGTGGAGGCAGGAGGATCAGAAATTTAAAGTCCTCCTTGGCTACTTAGCAAAGTGAAGCCAAGCACCTCCCACACCAGAAGCCCTAGGGCTAAGTTGTCAACGTCTCTACAGTAAAGGTCAAATCTGAGACCAAGACTCGGGGGTGCTGCACCTACTTAGTGCCTTCCCAGTGTCGGCACTGGAGGTCCCCCTGAAACTGGGATGCCTGGTTACTCTGGGACGCCCACTTCTGGCTCCTGGACCAGCGTTCCTCCTTCCAGCTCGCATTTTCTTAAGCAAAGATCAATCCCAGAGAAGAGATGGGAGGAAGGCAAAATCAGGGCCACCGACCCAGGCAGTAACATCAGGAGGCCCCAGAGAGCTGTCATGGCTACAGACAGGAGTGGGTCAAGCCAGGGAGAGGGAGGCCGGTGGAGCGGAGGAGAGTGGGCATCTACGGAGGGCCAGGCGTGCACTTCGCTTCCTGAGGGTCGGGTGGCAGCAGGCATGGAAGCAGCGCGAGGAAGCTATGCATGCAGGCAGGGCCGGGTGGATAGTACTAAGCCTTTAAGTCGGCTTGATAATCTCTTGTGCTGTTACAATAATAAGAATAATCCCAGCCACCCGTCCCACCCATGGCACCCTGCAGAACACTTTCACACCTATTGCTTCATGGCATCTCTATCACAAGCCAGGGCCTCCCTGACAACAACCACCTTGCTCATTGGAGGCCCTGAGGGTTAAGTTGTGGGGCTGGCAGAGTCTCACAGCCAGTAAAAGCTAGGTCCAGCCGCAGGCCTGGGGGGTCTGGTGGCCAGTGCCTCTGTGGTCACCTGGAGGAGAGGTGTGTCTCCTCCCCTCCATCATTATCATCAGGTGAATCGTGTGTTGACTTCTCGACTATACTGTTGTGCGAGCGTGGAAACATGCCGTCATTTATCCCATCTAAAGAAAAATAAAAACCACAAAATACTCTTAGCCCACAGCTCCCTAGAGCCCTTGCCCATTCTCTGTTCCCCATATATAGCAAAAATTCTTTTTAAAAAATCTATGCTCCTCTCCATAACGCCCCCCCAAGCCTCCCCTCCTCCGGCTGTCTGCTCCCATTCTCTCTTGGGTGCTTTTCCAGTGCCAGGGACTGAAGAAGAGCTTTGTGAAGGCTAAGCATGAGCTCTGCCACCGAGCCCTCTGAAGAGTGTTGCCATCCAGTTCACTGGCAACCTCCATGGTGCCAAAGCCAGCAGCAGCCTCAGCCCTCCTGGGCCCAGCTCAGCAGAATCTGACTCATCCATTCACCCTCCAGGCCTCCTGATGCTGGTTTTTGTTTAGCAGGCCCCACCATGTCCTGCCCTGGGCCCCTGGGTCTTCTCTTTCCCTCAGGAGCCCAGGCAGCCTCAGTGCTTTGAACATTATGACTGTAAATTTACCTCCAGCCCCAGTGTCCAGACCAGAATGTTCAGTTGCCTGGTCAGCATGCCCATTCGCAATCTAACAGACCCTTTATCCTCTAACACATGCAAACAGCTTTTTCCTGGGTTCACAGCCTTTCTCATTGTTCCCACTCAGGACAAATTCCTTGGCAGCACAACTCCTTTCCTAACCCATCAGACTCGGCACCAGGTCTCATGCCTCTATCCCTCATCTTATCTGGGCCTGAGCGCTCTGCCAAGCTTCAGGGCCCTTCTTTCCCAGGGTCAGGCGCAATTGCCTCCCATCAGGCTTGTTGCCATGGCCCCCACTGCTCCCCCTGCTGTGCCCACATCTCTGGTCCAGCTAGTGGGCGGGAGTAAAAAACCCCCACGCCCCCACCCTTGGCTTCCAAAGCTGGTTGCTTCCCACAGGCCCCCTTTGACCTCCTCCTCCCCACGGCTGCGTCCACTCGGGTCCCTTGCTGCCTAGGTATATATAACAGGCTCCTTCCGCACCCGGGTGCCACACCTGATCTGCTCCTCTGTCCCCTGAGACTCTCCCACTTCTACTCTTCCTGGGCTTTGTTTCCTTCACAACAGGGCAAGCGCCCCCACGCTCATGCCCTGCTCCGTCCTCCTAGATTCCCAACTCTAGCTAGCCCGTCTATCTTCTCCTCCTGGGACACACTCTGGGTTTTTCTGATCTGTTTGGTTTTCTGACTCAAGGGGAAGAATGTAAACTCCTTGAGAGTGGGGATCACCCACCACTCCGGTTTGTTCACTGCTATAGTCCCATCACCTGGAACAGCATAGTATACAGCAGGCATCCACGGATGTTTGTGGGGTGAATGGGTGCCTGGGGAGTGAGGTGGGGGCAGGGCGTGTCTGAGGTGCTGGGACAGGTCAGTTGCGCTGCTGAATATGCACTGACTTGGCTGTCTCCTGTGAGTCACAGGGAGGAGAAGGAACTTTGGTGTCCAGTGACCCCCATAATGTCTCATTCAGTCAGTTCATCCAAAAGCCTTGATTGGGATCGCCTTGAAAATTACATAAAGAGTAGTAGAGAGAGCATATGAGTGGCCCTTCTGCTTAGAGAAGGGAAGACACCCTTGGGTGCCATGATGCATTCCATTCAGCAGCATCCCAGAAGATCCCTGTGCCTTCTCATCAACCCCTGCATTGTGCCCTGTGCTGGCCCCTGCTGGCTTCTTCCAGCATCACCTGTTTGTGGGATCTGTGCCCCTCTATCTCAAGCCCAGTGCCTCCTCCTCTCCCACTTAGTACACATGGGACCCTATCTGTTCTGCAGTCAGGCAAGACACGTACACGACATCCCCACCCCTGGCATGATTACTGCCTCATCAAGGATGTGTGAGAAAGAGAAGAGTCAGATGCGGCCTTGAGGCCTCCATGGGGCCTTCCCTCTCTATCCCTGCTAGCCTGGGTTTTGTGGAGACTGAGGACACCCAGTGGTTCTCCCGACCCTACAGCTCCCACTCTGAGAGGTTCTTCCATCTTTCCGGGTGGGGCCACCGGCTTGCAAACCAAGGCCTTACGGGGTCCAGCCTTGAAAAGCAGGTCCCTCCTAGGTCTCTTCAACGTCTAGCCTTGGCGCATTGTCAGGAAGCCCTGAGCTTGCATCTTGACCCCTACACATTTCTGGGTGTCAGGACTGAAATGCCAGTAGATGTGAGTCAGCTGAAAGGCATTGGTTCTGAGTGACTCCACCATCCTCTCCCCACTAGAGCCCTCTCCTTGGTGCTTTCTTGAGAGGTTAAACCCATGGGCCAGGCTGGGGTGATGGGGCAGAGCTGTGGGGCTGGGCAGAAACTGTTTGGTTTTCTTGATCCAGTCCTGCCCATTACAAGGTAGGGAAACAGAGTGGGGCCTGTGGACCTAGAGAGGCCGTATAGCCTGCCACCCCCAGAGGAAGCTCTCGATCGCTATCCAGGCCCACAGAGGTTCTGGGCTCTCTGACACAGTTTAAGCACCTGGGAAGTTTAGGGGAACCCTCTAGCCCCCCCACCGCTCCACCCCTCACTTGGTCTAGTGAGGGCCATAATGTAGGCCCGATCTTCCCCAAATCCAGACAACAGTACAAAGTGAAAACCAGCCACACAGGCCCAAGGTTGTCAAAATCCATTCTCTTGTTCCGAGGGGCTATATGAGCCTCAAAATTATTCGAGGACTTTCCATTCTGTCGCCCTTCTTCTGCTACAGGAGATGCTGTCTCCCCAAACCGTGGGGAAGCTGGTGGCTGGCTCTGAAGTAGGGGGATGATGGTGTGGCGAACTCACTGTTCTAGGTCTACTTCCTGATCTCCCTTACCACAGTGTCACCTCCTCAGACTCTAATCCTCCCATCAACACCCTCTTCACCCCTGAATGGTCACAGCAGCCTGCCACATGGAGGAGAAAGGAATCCCTGTCCCGAAGG